TCCCAGGTTGGCTGGCTCAATCAAGGTGGTACCCCTGCTCTGAGCATCTAGGCCAGTTCCATCCAGCACCATGGCCAGATTCAGATGCTGCCGCAGCCAAAGCCGGAGCAGATGCCGCCGCCGGAGACGAAGATGTCGCCGACGAAGGAGGCGCTGCTGTCGGAGGAGGAGGAGGAGAGGTAAGAGGGGTTCCTCTGTGGGCACAAAAGTCAGACTGCTGGGCAGAACCGGGGGTTCTGCCCACACTAAAATGTCCTTTCTTTCTCCCCAGTGTGCTGCCGCCGCTACACTGTTGTGAGGTGTAGACGAAGATAAGATGCTAAGGCACAAGCTAGCGAGCAAGTCCACCACAGTCCTGCCTGAGTTTTACCGGCCTACGACACCCTCTTGCCACATCTGGAACATGCCACCATCTCAATGAACAGGAGCCTGCTAACAAACAACGCCGCCTGTCAATAAACACTGAAAAAATAACTCCACTCTTGTGTCTTGGCCTTGAGAAGGGGGCTCGGGAGAGGAGGGCTTGGGGATGCCGGGAAGAGGGGACATGAGTAACAGTTGTCACGTGAAATCTTGTCCCAAACACTTGACTACCAAGTCAATCAAAATCAGCGTACCCTGCCCTGGCCGGTTTGGCTCAGCGGTTGGAGCGTCGGCCTGCGATCCGGAGAGACCCGGGTTCGGTTCCCGCTAAGGGCATGTACCTCGGTTGCAGTTTGTCCCCAGCCCTGGCTGGGTCATATGGGTGGTGGCCACTCGATGTGTCCCTTTCACGTCGATGTTTCTCTTTCTTCCTCTCTCTCCCTCCCACTCTATCTGAACAAAACACAAAAAAATGTCCTCGGGTGAAGATAAAAAAAAAAAATCGGCGCCCCCAACCACCCCTGTATAGACCCCCCGCCCCCGTGGGGACGAGCCGGCCACGCTGTTTCCGAGTGCATTTCTCCCGACACTGGGCTCCACGACACTGTTGGCAGCTTGAAAAGGCCACAGAAATCTGTGAAAATGCTACAATCGGCTCGCTCTCCTGTCCCTGCCTCAAAGTCAGGTAAACGTCTACCAGCTCCAGCTTATCGCTTATCCCACCAGTGCCCAAAGTGTCCACTGTTTTATCGGTTCAAAGCTCCTCTCTGTTTGGGTACTTGCCCAGCTAGCCACAGAGCTAAGCTTTCACATGTGACATCTAAACTTTCACATTTAACCTGTGAAGGCGGCAACATGGTAACCTGACCATCTTGTCTGCGCGCTCAACCCACATGACACACTTAGGGCCCGAAACCCCAGGGGACGTGGAGATGGTTCACAAGACACTTTGGACATCAGTCCACTTGGCTCATTTCACACTCTCATGGTGGCAGAGCAAAGCCCAGGGCTGAGACCCTATTCCCTAAAGTGACAGGGCCACCTTATGCCTCAGCAACGTGGCCAAGGCCTCCATGTTCCCCTAAGGTGACAGGGCCACCTTACGCCGCAGCAACGTGGCCGTGGCGGCCTCCGTGTTCCCCTAAGGTGACAGGGCCACCTTACGCCTCAGCAACGTGGCCGTGGCGGCCTTCGTGTTTCCCTAAAGTGACAGGGCCACCTTACGCCTCAGCAACGTGGCCGTGGCGGCCTTCGTGTTTCCCTAAAGTGAAGGGTCACCTACGCCTCAGTAACGTGGTCGTGGCCTCTGTGTTTCGGACATCATGCGCACAGGTTTTCTACCTTCGCGTTCAGGCCTCAGACCGACCTTGCAAGACAGGTATGGACAACCACACCTGTCAATCCAGGCGAGGACAATAAATGGGGATCTGAAACTGCTTCCATCACCCCAGTCACTAGACGGCTTCTTGTATCGCGTCGGACGATACGGCAGATGGCTGGACACAGTCCCCGCCTGCCTAATGATGCTGATGGAGCCTCCGTTTCCTATGGCCACTGTCACAAATTACCACAAACTTCAGACTTATTACAGAATAGCAAAACAGGTCTCACAGGGCTCAAATCAAGGTGTAGGCAGGGCCATGCTCTCTTCCAGCTCCCAGAGGTTCTGCTGTATCTCCAAGGCCAGAGGGTCACAGGAGGGTCTCTTCCTGTGACCCTCCTGCCTCCCTCTCCCATCTTTCAAGGACCCATGTAACTACATTCAAACCCACTTACGATAATCTAGGGTGAGTTCCCATCTCCACATCCTTAATTCACACCCAGAAAGTCTGTTTTGCAAGGTAACATTCAGGCTCAGGGATTAGGACATGGGCAGACATTTTTCTGAAAGGGAACCAGTTAATGATTCTGCGGTTTGTTTTTTTAATTTTTTTTTCTTTATTGATTTTAGAGAGAGAAGAAGAGAGAGGGAGACAGATAGAAACATCGATGAGAGAGAACATTGATTGGCCGCCTCCTGCATGCCCCCCACTGGAGATCGGGCCCACAACCTGAGCATGTACCCTGACCAGGAATCAAACTGGCGACCTCTTGGTGTATGCGTCGACGCTCAACCACTGACACACACCGCCTGGGACTGATTCTGCTTTAATGGGATCATCAAAGTACAATGAGAGGGCTGGGAAGGGGGTGGGGTGCCAAGGGCATGGACTATGAAGACCAGCCTTGCCTCTTATTTGCAGAGAGACCTTGAACAAGTAATTCAACCTCTTTGGGGATTATAACTGAGGAGTAAATAAATAATCTGGAAAATAGATGAATTAAATGCCTGGCATGTAGTCACCACTAGATAACTGTTGGACAAACAGTCATGAAATCCCACCCAGACCATGGCACAGCCTCTAAGGTGACGAGGAAGCTTCCGAAAATGGCTATGTGTGTATTCCCACCAGCTGGGCGAGAGAAGCGCTTAGATTTGGACAAGAAAAGGCTGGTGAAGTCCCACCTGCTACCAGGGACCGTAAGGGGCTTGACTTTCCAGGCCTGCTGGCTGTGGACCGCTGCTCTGTGTTTTCTTCACTGAGGGAGTTGGCCAGGGTGAGGACAATGGGGGGGTGGGGCCACTGAGTCATAGTGGGGGCCCCCTTTATATACAAGCGCCCCAAGAGCTGCCGGCAGACCAGACCAACATCAACAGCAAGAGCAGGTGCAGACCTCGACCCTCCTCCCCTGCCGCCAAAGCCCGCTGCAGCCTCCGCCCGACCTGAGCGCCTGACCGGTGAGCAGGATGGTCCGACACAGCATGAGGAGCCTGAGCGAGCGTCCACAGCAGCAAGGCCCGGAGCAGGAGCACGATCCCAGTTCAGAGGACGGCCAGGTGGATGGAAGGACGCTCAGAGGAGGCCGCTATCTCTACAGACACAGGAACTGCTCCCGCAGGCGGCTGCACAGGGTCAGCAGGCGGCGGCGCCGCTCCTCCCGGAGACGCCGGAGACGGTCCTGCAGGCGCAGGCGGCTACGCAGAGGTCACCAGTCCCCACTCGCGCTCGCTCTGGGCCCCCACACCTCGGGGCCATGGCACAGGAGGGGTGGGAGGACCGTGATGCCTTGGGACCCACCCCATCTGACAGTCCCCAAACCCCAGCGCCACCCGGGTCCCCTGCACTGCCCTGTGACCAGAACTTTCTTTTCCAAAAGGTGGCCGAAGGGTCAGGAGGAGGAGGAGACACAGAAGGTATTACTAGACCTTCTTGGGCCCAGGACACCTGGTTGGAAATCAAGAAGTCACCTGCCAAGGAACCACGTCATGAGACAACAGCAATCCCTCCAAGCTGGATGCCCGAACCCTGAGCCCATTTCTTGAGCAAAATGAGCAAAAGTCATCTGCCAATAAAGCTTGAGATAAGAAACTTGCTGGTCTCTCAGGGTCTTTTTTAGGAAAATGGCACAAACATGGTTTCTCTCCTTGGGGAGGAAAGGGTCTGAGGGCCAGGGCGGGGGTTCAGCCCAGAGTGTTACCTGTGACACCCTCTGTCACCCAGAGGTAGCGTTTGCCTTTGATACCCCAGGCTACACAGGGGTCTTTGAGCCAAGCTCTCGGCCGGAAGAGCTGAAGGGTGTGTGGGTAGCTCGGGAAGTATGCTGAGAGGGAAGCAGGCGGGCATGAGGAGACGAACGAAGGGCGGATCAGTGTGAGGTCCGTGGACCCGAGCGGAGCCGGCCCAGGGTGCCGGTGTCGGAAGAATTCATTCTCTCCTCTTTCTAGTTTCTGGTGGCTCCCTGTCATCCAGGTGCCCTTGGCTGTGACCACGTCACGCCAGTCTCTGCTTCCATGGTCCCATGGACTCCTCCATGAAGTGTCTGCCTTCATCTTCCAGGGACACCTGTGATTGCAGTTAGGGCTCACCCAACAAATCCAGGAGTTTCCCCATCTCAGGTCCTCAGAGGGTCATCACTCAGCCTACCATAGCCACCGAGGATGTGGGCAGAAACCCAGCAAAATCTGATTTACATGTTGGCAAACGGATACCCAGGGGACTTCACTCTGCCCTCCCATGCTGACACTGTCATATGGGCGTGTGTACCTAGAGACCTGTGACCCCGAAAGCTTAGGAGCGCAGCCTTTAAAGGGTGACTTTTGGAGGGGAGGACAGAAGGGTTTCCTTCACGTTACGGAAGCGCAGCGTACACGAAGGACAGAGCTAAGGACACCCACGCAGGCGCCAGCCAGGCCAAGAAAGCGAGCACTTGCAGCCCCTCCCCCCAGCAGCTTCTTTGTGTCCCCAGCCCCCAAAGGTAGCCACCACTCTGACCCATCATCACACACTGTCAGCAGCTCTCTGAGGCTGGGTATTTCTGGGATAGGGGGAGGAGTCTGTGTGCTCTCCTGCTTCTGGAAATTCTATCCCCAACTGTCACCCCAGCTAAAAGGGCACACGAGGCCAGATGGAGGAGGCAGCCTGGCGGCGGAGGCAGCATGAGCACTGGCCTGGTGTCCGCCTCTGTCCTGCTCTGCAGCTGGCAAGAGCTAAGTGGGGCTGCTCGTGGCTGAGGTTTGAGTCAGGTGTCAGCCCAAACTCAGGTATCCAAGGCTGGGGCGCTCCAGGGGCACCTTTGTGATGTCAGCGCCCTGCCTACAACCCTCACAGCCCCTCCACTTCCCCCCAGTGGCTTTCCCTCCCAGTCCGGAGAAGCAGCCGAAGCAGGCAATGGGTTCCCACTGTGGCAAGCTGGGCACGAGTCACAGCCGGGGCCACGAATCCTCCATAAAGAAGCTCGTGGCCTGCATCAGTCAAGACAACTTCTCCCTGTCCTCAGAGGATGAGGAAGAGGAGGAGGGGGAAGAAGAGGAGGAGGAGGAGGAGGAGCTCCCGGTACAGGGCAAGCTGCTGCTGATGGAGCCCGAGAGGCAGGAAGAGGGCGCCGAAGACGACCCCGTGGCCCAGCAGAGCCCCAAGTCCAAGCAGGCGCACTCCTGACCCCTGATGACGACCCAGGAAGAGCCCCTGCTGCGGTTCCTGTGAGAAGAACTTTCAGAAAAGAGCCAATAAAGTCTCCAAAGGAATTCTCCTGCTTTCTGGTGTCCTCAACCCTGCGCCTGGTACCGTGTGCCTGTGCGTGTGTGTACGTGTGTGCGCGCTTAGGAGGTTGAAGAGTGGGGTGCTCCTGACACCCAGCCAGGAGTTCTCACTAGGTCCACTCCTCGTGACTTCTCAGCCACCCTCTCTGCTTTAGGGGGCGAAAATACAGTAGCCTGGGCTAGAGAGCCATCTCAGCCAGTCCCGTCTCTGGGGTGCACGTGATGGGATAGGACGGGACAGGGAGCAGGTGAGCGTGGGGGAGCTCTCTGCTGGGGCAGTGTACTCTCCCTCAGCAAACCCCCACCCTGCTGCTCTGGCCATGGACGGTTTTGTCAAGTACTAGCTTGCAGTTCAGCACACCAGGGTTCACATTTCTTTCTGCTCGGGGTGTGACCTGAGCAAGTCACTGTCTGTCCTTGAACCTTGGCCTGCCCCTCCCTGCTTAAGGGTGAGATTAACAGTGGCCGCTAGGTTGGTGGGCTGGGAGAATTAACTAAAACGCTGGGTGGGGCGCAGGCCTGCCACACAGCGAATGTTTAAGACCGTGTTGCTGCTGGAGTGTGGTGGCTTCTCTGCCTCACTGGTCCTGGTTTTGGGGTGAGAGTATGTGGAGGGCCTGAGTCCTCAGCCAGTGATTCTTCTGCTGCCACTCTCACACTCCAGGGGACCACCCCTGCCCCAGAAGCTCATGTCTGCCTTTAGCAAGGGGTGTGGCTGTGGGGGCAGAACCCATGTCCTCATTAGAGCAACGGGCAAAGGAGGCCCAGAGAAGCTGCCACACAGATGCAGAACCCGGGTGCTTACTCTGGCCACTTGGAGAAGCATAGGATGTGTCTGCTGCCCACACTGCCCAGAAGAAACGACATGTGATCCCCTCCCCCTGCCCTCAGCAGGGCCCAAGCACCAGCTGTTGGCCGAGAAGAACCTGGACCAGGGCACCTGGGGGATGGCAGTGGCAATGTCTCTGGGGGTGGGGGACATGTCAGGGGTGAGGAGAGGCCTTGGGTTACTCAGAGGGGAGGCCCCGTGAAGACTTGCACACAGCAGAGGGCAAGTGATGTCCGAAAGAGGGGGCCCCATTGTCCGTGATTCCTACCCATACCCCTGACCAAGTACCTGGGGCAAGCAGCTTTGTCCTTCTGTCCAAGTCCCAGAGGCCCACCTGCCCATTCAGTCACCCGGCAATCGTTTGCCGAGCCCCTTCTGTTCCTGCTGGTCACTGCGGCCTCTGGCTGAACTGAACCCCGTCTCCGTCCTACTACACTCGAGCGTGTGCAGTGTGGAATCAGAAGGGGAGGGGGGCGGGGGACCCCGAAAGGGTCTTACAGCATGGCCAACCAGCCTGACTGAGCCCGCACGAGACAAGGCCATTAGAACAGAGACACATGTGCCCTCTGTAATCCCCTCGGGCCCCTTAGTGACCCCAAGGCTGGACAAGAGGGAGCCAGACCTGGATTCGGATCCTGGCCCTGCCACTGACTGGCTGTGAGCCTCTAGCCTGCTCCCTTTTTGTAAAATGTTAGCATCATACCTGCCCCATGGGGTTCACTAGTTTCTTAGGACTACTGGAACAGATTAGCACAGACTCGGTGGTTGAAAACAACAGAAATGTATCCTCTCGCGTTCTGGAGGCCAGAAGTCTGCAGTCAAGAAGGAAACTGGGCCAGATCCCCGCGGGGGTCCTGGGGGAGAGGCCTTCTCCCCACGTACAGCTGCTGGCAGCCGGGGGCTCCTTGTCTTGTGGCTACAAGACTTCGCCTTTGCCTTTACGTGGTCTATTCTTTCCTGTGTGTCTTCTCTTTTTTTTTAAAAAAAATATGTTTTTATTTAATTAATTTATTTGTGTTTATTTAATGTATTTATTTTTTGTAAATTGAGTAAGTTGTGAATAGTCACACTCTTTTTTAAAAAAAAAAAAACCACTTTTTTTTCTTTATTGATTTTAGAGAAAAAGGAAGGGAGAGATAGAAACATCGATGTGAGAGAGAAACATCCATCAGCTGCCTCCTGCAAGCCCCCCACTAGGGATCGAGCCCACAACCCGGGCATGTGCCCTGATCGGGAGTTGAGCAGGGACTTCTCAGTTCATGGGACGATGGTTCACAGTCCACTGTCTCCTATAAAGAACACCTGTGATTGGATTAGGGACCAACTGGATAACGAAGAGATTCTCTTTAATTACATCTACAAAAAATGCTTTTCCCAAATAAGGTCATACTGACAGGTTCTGGGCTTAGAACCTGGACATATCTTATTTTACTTTATTTTTATCCTCACCTGAGGACATTTTTCCATTTTTTGTTCAGATAGAGTGGGAGGGAGACAGAGGAAGAAAGAGAGAGAGAAACATCGATGTGAAAGGGACACACTGAGTGGCTGCCACCTGCACGACCCAACCAGGGCCGGGGACAAACTGCAACCGAGGTACATGCCCTTAGCGGGAACCAAACCCGGGTCTCTCTCGACCGCAGGCCGACGCTCTAACTGCTGAGCCAAACCGGCCAGGGCAGAACCTGGACATATCTTGGGGCCACCATTCAACCCACTCAAGGACAAAGTTGCCTAGAAGGGGGAGGGGTTGCCAGGAGCCCAGGAAGTGCTCAATGAGGGCGGATGTCACTGTGAGTGATGTGACGTGTTTGTTAAGAAATAAACTGTAGCCCTGGCTGGTTTGGCTCAGCGGTAGAGCATCGGCCCACGGACCAGTGAGTCCCGGGTTCAATTCCAGCCGAGGGCACGTACCTCGGTAGTAGTGTGTCCCCGGCCCTGGTCCGGGTCGTGTGGGAGGCAGCCAGTCGACGTGTCCCTCTCACATTGATGTGTCCCTCTGATGTCGATGTTTCTCTCTCTCTCCCTTTCTTTCCCTCTCTCTCTACCTGAAAATAAATAGAAGGAAGGAAGGAAGGAAGGAAGGAAGGAAGGAAGGAAGGAAGGAAGGAAGGAAGGAAGGAGAAAGAAAGAGAAAGAAAGAAAGAAAGAAAGAAAGAAAGAAAGAAAGAAAGAAAGAAAGAAAGAAAGAAGGAAACTGTAATAAAAGCAGATAAGAGCAAAGCCCTACACCAAGAGGCAAAGTGAAGGAGAAGTAGCTGTGGGCTGGGGGGCCTGCCCGGGGAGGGGAGATGGGGGAGGGGAGGTGGGGACTGCACTGTCCCCCTGCGGGAGATGGGGGAGGGGAGATGGGGGCTGCACTGTCCCCCTGCGGGAGAAGGGGGACACTGCAGGCCAAGAGCTAAGCCCAAGGGGTTGGCGGAGGGGTGGGAAGGGCTGGGCTGCTGTGTGCTCACAGGGTCTCGGTGCAAACAGTTTGGGGCTTTCTTCCACAGGTGCTGGGAGATCCGAGTGGGGGCTGGCCTGATTCCAACTCAAGGTGGGCTTCATTAGCAGGCAGGAGGGTAGAGTCAGGAGGCAGGAATCTGAGGGAGGAAGAGGGTTTCCAAGGGCCTCTGGTGTCTTGACAGGTACCGCAGGCTCACGAGAATACCAGGAAGGAAGGCATGGCATCCTTTTGTCAGATAAGAAAGCCAAGCCCAAACCAAAATGACCTACCCAAGGTAGGACATCGGCACAAACTGGGATCGAACCTGGCTCTAATTGTCCCGAATTTAAGAAATTGAAATGTCTCTGGGGAAGTGGGCTCGCCAGGCTGGTTCCAGGACCACCCATCGGCCCATTCCATTACCCTTATCATTCATCCATCTGAAGAGCCATCCAATCCATTCAACATCCCCGGCCCCACCCAATGATCCTCATACCAACTATCTATCTCATCAACCACCCACACCCCAGCCAACTGTCACAGGGGTCAGGACTGTGCCCCGGGCTTCGAAGCTGCCTGGGTGGAATAAGAAAAAGAGCCAGGATGTTTAGCAATGTTTATTGAGCTCTTACTGTGGGCTGTCCCTGAGCCAACTGCTGGACACAGATTCATTTAATTTGTCTGTTGTCCCTAAGGAGGTGCGTATCCTTATTGTTGTCCCCACTCTACAAAGATAGGGGAACTGGGACTTGGGGGGGAAAGTCCAGGTGAGTGACCCATAAGGAAAGGAAAAAGCAGATCTGGGATGTGGACCAGCTCGATCTGCTCCAAGGGTTTCTGCTGTTTTTTTTTTTATCCTCACCCGAGGATATTTTTCCATTTTTTTTTGTACAGATAGAGTGGGAGGGAGAGAGAAGAAGGGAGAGAGAGAGAGAGAAACATCGACGTGAAAGAGACACATCGAGTGGCTGCCACCCGTACGACCAACCAGGGCCGGGGACAAACTGCAACCGAAGTACGTGCCCTTAGTGGGAACTGAACCCGGGTCTCTCGGGACCGCAGGCCGACGCTCTAACCGCTGAGCCAAACTGGCCAGGGCCAAGGGTTTCTGCTCTTAACCAACAGGTGGGATTACCGCAGAGGGGGCCCTGAAAGTTGCCCCACCCTGGGGTTAGGGCAAGGGGTCGGGAGCTTTGTCCTGACCAGGCCACATCTGTTACACCTTTGTGGCCTGTGCCATCACAATTGGGCCCAACTATATAACCCGGGGTGCCAGGGACCCTGTAAAGCTGGGTGTGCTGGAAGAGGAGGAGGAGGAGGCGGCCTCTGCCTCTCCACGCGTGGCCTCCCATGGACACCAAGACACAGAACCCTCCCATCACCCACACCCAGCCCCACAGCAACTCTAGGCCCCAAAGCCACACCTGCAACCAGTGCAGTTGCAGCCACCACTGCCAGAGCTGCGGCCAGAGCTGCAGCCGGGGCCAGAGTCGCAGCCACAGTCGGAGCTCCAGCCCAGGCCCGACCAGCCATCGCAGCCCAGCTGGCCACCAGAGCCCGAATCCAAGCCCCAGCCCGCCACCAAAGCATCACAAACACACCATGCACCCCCACCACCGCCCCACACGGCCCACCACCCATTCCTGCAGCTACACCAAGAACAGAAAGAACTTGGAAAGAAAAGTGAACAAGAGGAAGGTGGTCAGGAGGAGCCAGCAGGTGTACAAAACAAAGAGGCGAAGCTCAGGTACTTTTCATGAGGGTGGGCAAAGGCGAGCCTGGGCCCAGGTGAGGGGGAGCTGCTCAGCTGGATGCTGGGGGCAGTCAGTGAAGGCCACAGCCCCCAAGCCCAGAGGGAGAAGAAACGAGGGCAGTTGTGTGTATGGCGGCCTGCTGGGCTAGCTAATAGGTCGGATGGTTGATTGGGAAAGCAGACAGGTGGCAGGCAGGTTAGCTAGATGGAAGGATGATGGAGGGATGGGAGGCTGGGTGGATAAATAATTCATTAGAAGTGCGGTTAGGGAGAGAGATGACAGAGGAATTGACTAGTTGTTTACATGGATTGTTGGATGGGTAGGTGGATGGACAGAATGCAGTTGAATGAGAGGAAAGTTTGGATCTAGTTGGAAGGGTATATGGAGAGTGAATTGGTTAATTGACTAGGTGGGTGGATGATTCATTCGATCATTGTGGACAAATGGGTAGGTGAACTGATGGATGGTTAATTGGACAGATGAATTTAATGGACCAATGGATGGAAGAATAGATGTTCAGACTGAAATTAGATGGGTAGCCTGAATATAACTGAAAGAATGAAATGAATATTGGATAAAAAGACTGGGTGATTCACGGATGGGTCATGAGTCACCAGTCTTATTTATTTTTTCCACCTGTCTTTTTAAGTGGATGGGATGGATGGATTCACATGGGTCCAAAGGAACTTGATGATAGTCTGTTGTAGCCATGCCCATATTGGATTACAAATGAGCAGGCCAAGACCCAAAGGGGAGAGGATTAGTGAGGTCAATGAAACACAACTATTAAAGGGTCCCTTTCCTATTCCTGTCACTTAGGGCGAAAATACAACTGAGATCGCACTCCATGGCTTGTTCCTGTGTCGGTTTCACTAAATGAGAAAGCCATCATGTGTGGAATACTATTTGCAGGAACATGTTACTACAGGTGATTTCTATGCAACAATGATTAAAGCTTGTACGCTGGATGACTCTCCTTGTGTCAGTATCTTGATTTCACTAAAGGTGTCGTGTTTGGGGGCCTGGTCTGGTAGCACAAAGCAGAAAAAAGGTTGCAGAGGGAGCAGAGACATGCCTTGTGATCAGACCTCATGAAAATATAAGGAGCCATACCAGCACAGGGGCAGAAATGAATGGGGGGGGGGCACCAAGAAGCCTTTTAAGTAGACTGGCAACACTCTGCTTGTGCAGAGCCCCCCTTTGCCCTACATGCTCCCACATTCATGCACACAAGTGTGTGCACACACGTGGGATGCCCATAGGCCACACACTGTGCATGTGATTTATACACAGTAGCATAAGAGACAGGTGGGGCCCAGCTGGTGTGGCTCAGTGATTGTCGACCCGTGCACCAAGAGGTCGCTGGTTCAATTCCCGGTCGGGGCACATGCCCAGGCTGTGGGTCAAATCCCCAGTGTGGGGCATACAAGAGGTGGTCAGTCAATGTTCTCTCTCATTGATGTTTCTCTCTCTCCCTCTCCCTTCCTCTCTCTCTAAAATCAATAAAGAAAAAAAAAAAAAAAAGACAGGTGGGAAGAGGGGTTAGAAATGTACATTTTAGCCCTGGCCAGTTTGGCTCAGTGGTTAAAGCATCAGCCTACGGACCAAAGGGTTGCAGGTTCGATCCCTGGCTCCTGTTAGGGTTGGGAGGGAGACAACCAATCGATGTGTCTCTTTCACATCAATGTTTCCCTTCCTCCCTCCCTTCCATTGATCTGAAAAATCAATGGAAAAATATCCTCAGGTGAGGATGACCAGAAAACAGAAAAGTGCATTTTAGTCCGAGCATCCTGGTTTACCTGGCTCGTATTTCCTTGCTGTGTGTCTCATTTGTCTCAGCCAACGTTTACTAAGGGACCACGTGTGTTCAGGGTCTGTGCAGTACACACAGGCCCTGTCCAGAGAAAGAACACACATTGCCAGTCACGCCAAGTTGTATCAAGAGAGCGAGGTAACAAAGCAGAGCAACTCTGGTGGGGTTCTAGGCCAAGGAAATAGCATGTGCAAAACACGTGGGTTCTCTCAAAGACTGGAGTCGCTGGTACAGCGTGTACAGGTGGCAGGAAAGGAGGGGGGGTGCCAGGAGGGGCCAGGCTGTGCAGGGGTTTGTAGGCTGTGGGGAACTTGAACATCGGACATTATATTTGTAGCAAGTGACAAGGTCTTATGTGTATTTAAAGAAGGTACTGGCACCCGGCTGGTGTGGCTCAGTGGTTGAGTGTCGACCCATGCACCAAGAGGTCGCTGGTTCGATTCCTGGTCAGGGCACATGCCCAGGTTGTGGCATGCGGGAGGCAGCCAATCCATGTTCTCTCTCATCGATGTTTCTCTCTCTCCCTCTCCCTTCTTCTCTCTCTAAAAAAAAACCAAATTAATAAAAAAATAAAGATGGTGCTGGCTGCTGTGTAGAGACTGGATTGTAGAGGACAGAAGGGAAGGAGGAAGAGCCATTGGGGGGTGGAGCCAAGGAAGAGGGACTGAAGGATGGCACTGGAGACCTCCATCACAGACAGGCTGAGGGAGTGAGTTCCTCCTCCAGCAAACACTGACTGGGCCAGGAGGGGAGACAAAGGGGAAGAGCCCTATAGACACACAGCTTCCAAATGAACTTGGAGATAAGATGCTATGTCATTAGATGATGAGATCAATTATCAAGAGGAAACTTTGGCCTTCTCATCTATAAAATGGGTCTCTTGCTGGGTGACTGGAAGGTTCGATGAGATCACATGTATGAAGTGGTCTCTAGGCCCAGAACACAGTAAGTACTCAATGACTCTCTGCTGTTATTGACAAGGCACATACAAGTACTAGACAACTTATTTTGAAGAAGGGCTAGTGTCCAGATAAAAGGTTAAGAAACGGTCAGAGTCCCATGTAAATTAAACCGACAAGCCTTGGTTTTCGGGTCAGACCCCAGTTTACATTGGCTCCCACACTCCTGGCTGGGGGAACCACACTAGTCACACTCGCTCTGAGACTCACTTATCTGTCTAGCAGCTCTAGCCTCAGGGGGCTCAGCCACCAGGGGCGTGTAAGGGGACCTCGCACAGCACCGGCACGTGGTCACGCGTCTTCCCTCTTGTGTTTCATTTGGCCTTTGGGCTGCAGGAAGGAGGAGGAACACATGGAGGTGGAGGATGGGCAGGCGTGGAAATGATGGGGTTGTCCACACTACAGTGGAGGGAGAGGGGCTGAAAGGGAGCCTCACTGGGGCGGTCATTTCATAACAGATACGTATGTCATTTCATTGTGACTAACAATAGGTTGATGATAGCTCGGTAAGAGGAGACCTGAGTTTTGCAGGTCAGGCAGTGGCACACACTGGAAGATGCTCTTTCGGAGCTCAGCTGTGTGGCCTTAGCAAGTCATTTCCTCTGTGCCCCAGTCTCCTCCTCTACAAAGTGGGAGGCTAAAGTGTCTCCCTTCAGGGGTCCCTGGGGTATAGTGAGACGACCATGCAAACACCCAGCAGAGGGTCTGGGACACAGTCTGCTCTCAGTGTGTCCCTTGAACTCTCCATCATGGCAGGGACATGTTCCAGGTTGGTGCCATGCACCCTCTGAGAGAGTGTGGAAAAGGGCCCAACCAGCCTGGGGGAATGACCATTTATTGAGCACCTGCTAGGTGCCAGATGCTTTGACATAAAATATTTCCACTGAACCACACACCCTCTGCAGGGGGCATTACTGTTCTCATTTTGCAGATGAAGAAGCTGAGACTCAGAGATACAATGACTTGATCAAGATCTCCTGGAGGGCATGTCTAAGACCAGAGATTCATCCTTTGCCCCCAAACTCCTGATTCCTATTTAAAAACGTAAAGCCTCATATCCCATGACAGTCTTTGATACCACAGTGCAGAAAAGTTTGAGAAACACTTCGAGGGAGCACATTTAAGGGAGGAGAGAGAGAAAGAGGGTCAGAGGATAAGGCCAAGGAATTTGAGCTCCACTCACCAAAGGACCTCCCTATTCCCTGAACAGTGTCCTTTTATAATATGATCACGGAAGGCAGGAGATCTTCTATTATAGAGACATGATCTCTATAACAGAGGAAGTGAACTGGGAAGCAGAGAGACTGGGTCACATGTGTGGTTTATGGATTCATCCTTAACCCCACATTTCCCTGAAACCAACACACAGAAAGCGGCACAAACACAGAGATAATCCAATCACATATACAAAGAAATTGCCATTCAAACCAACAAAGACACAGTGACCTAGGTTCACATGAGGACTCCCAAACACCACCCCCATATAGACAGGCAGTCACTCACACACACACCCTCTCACGCTGAAAGACACTCACGTAAGCAGGCACACACCCACCTTCTCACAGTCAGACACATGATGACAAGAGGAAAAATGTCAAACCACAGATTCATTCGTTCACTTACTTGGTTTGGGTGGGGTGACAGTAGTTTGGGGGCAGGCCTGCTGGAAACCCAAATTCAGGAAACAGAGAGAAACAGACGCCCACCTCAGCCACCGAGAGGCTTTGCGGATTCTGAAGGCGACATATTTTGCCTTTCTGGTTAATTTCCATGGAATACCAGGGTGTGGTGAAGTCTGGGAAACAGACTCAACTCTGCCTGTGGTGCGACTGTCCACTCAGCTGCCTGGGGCACTGCCCCTCCTGTAGGCCCTAGCTGTCACTAGGGAACCCAGCGGTTCTGGGGGAGGAGGGAGCAGTTAGGGAAGAGGGTACAGAGCCTGAGTTGGGGTGCCATTTGAGGTACCATTCAGGAGGAAAAATACCTCAAACTTTTTAGCCACACACACCCAGAGTCAACTTCCAACTCCCTCATTCCTTCTCTGGGTGACCCCAAGCCTGTCTCTTAACCTCTCTGACCCTTATCTGCACTTATGCTTTGTGAAGAGGTCCGAGGGGCCAGGCTGTTCCCGGCTGCTGCGTCCCTGGTACTTGGCACAGTCCTGGCACATATTTGGAGCTCAGTGAATGGTTGTTGAAGAAATGAAAGAGCAGGCATTAAAGCAACGGTGAGATGCATACCTATTGAATGTGCAAAAGTGGAAAGGTTTGATAATAACAAGTACTGATGAAGGCATGGGAGGGGATATGGCCACCTGCCACTGCGAGAGGGCGGACAGGCACCGGCACGTTGGTGGACAGCACTTAAAGTGTGTCAAGTGTTCTCACACCTGTGCAAAGACCTTGTACAGGGAGGTACAGGGCCACGTTATTTGCAAGAGCAAAAAGCTGGAAACAGTTTATGTGCCTGTCCACAGGGGATAACAACAGGAACTCTGAGGATGTATTTTTCAAAATATCATGCAGTTGTGTTTTGGTTTTTTTTTGTCTTTTTAAAATTTTTTTATGCTCACCCGAGGACATTTTCCATCTTTTGTTCCAGTAGAGTGGGATGGAGAGAGAGAGAGAAACATCGATGTGAAAGGGACACATCGAGTGGCTGCCACCCACACGACCAACCAGGGCCAGGGACAAACTGCAACCGAGGTACATGCCCTTAGCGGGAACCAAACCCGGTCTCTCAGGACCACAGGCTGACGCTCTAACCGCTGAGTCATACCGGCCAGGGCTTATGTCTTTATATATATATATATATATATATATATATATATATATATATATATTTTTTTTTTTTTTTTTTAAATAATTTTTCTTTATTAATTTTAGAGAGGAAGGAAGGGAGAGGGAGAGAGAAACAAAAACATCTATGAGAGAGAAGAACATAGACTGGCCACCTCCTGCACGCCCCCCACTGGGGATTTGGCCCACAACCTGGGCATGTGCCCTGACTGGGAATCAAACCAGCAACCTCTTGGTGCATGGGTCGATGCTCAACCACTGAGCCACACTGGCTGGGCTCATGTCATTTTTTTAAAAGAATGAAGTTGAGCCCTGGTTGGTTTGCCTCCGGTTAGAGCGTTGTGGACTGAAGGGTCACAGGCTCAATTCCCAGTCAAGGGCACGTACCTGGGTTGCAGGTTTGATCCCCAGCCGGGCTGAAGCTGTGCGGGAGGCAGCCAGTGTGTCTCTCTCACATCAGTGTC